AAAAACCCTTCCTGAATTCTCTCGCTTGTTTTGAAGAATAAGGACCTGCCTGACCTGCCCAACATGCTCAGTCGGAGGAGGAACCATGTCCTTCCCTCTTCCTGAAGAATAACCCCAACTTTCCCCATCTTCCTCTCAGCACAATGGCGCCCCCACCAACTACCCTGCTTCAGCACCTGTTCCTTGCATAAGCTCTCCAAGTATTAGATATTCTCCACAACAACAAGAAGTCAATATTTCAAGGTTTATTTTAAGAATTATATGCTATTTTACTTTTTAGATTGTAGATGCTCCCTGGTATTCAGGTCAGGTCTTAGTAGAATAATGTAGCACTTGGGGAGGAAGATGCAGAACAGCAGCCCAGCACCAGAGGCCAAGATGGAGAAGACCTGCACAGCCACCATGTACTTGCCCCTGGTGCTCAGGTAGGCAGGCATGAAGGACACCCAGACGCTGCAGAAAACCAGCATGCTGAAGGTGATCAGCTTGGCCTCGTTGAAGGCCCCGGGCAGCTTCCTGGCCAGGAAGGCCACAGTGAAGCAGATGACAGCCAGGAAGCCCATGTAGCCGAGGGCCGTGTAGAACATGGCCACAGAGCCTTCGTTGCACTGCAGCACGATCTGCATAGGCTGGGAAAGCATGTCAGAGTCTGGGTAGGGTGGAGAGGTTCCCAGCCAGATGATGCAGATGAGAACTTGGGCACTGGAACAGGATAAGACAATAAAGTTAGCCAGACTCTTCCCCAGCCATCTTTTCACCCTATTTCCTGGCTGAGTGGCCAGGAAGACCAACACCACAGTGATGGTCTTGGCCAAGAGAGAAGAGACAGCCACTGAGAAGATGACGCTGAAGGTTGTCTGTCGGAGAAGGCAGTTCACTTGCCTTGGCTGGCCAATGAACAGGAAAGAGGACAAGAAGGAGAGGAGAAGGGAGATGAGCAGAATGTAGGAGAGATCTCGGTTGTTGTCCTTGACGATTGGTGTTTGTAGTTTTTTAATGAAGATTGCTAACACACAGCTCGTGCTGAAGGACAAGAATAGGGCAAGGGAAATGAGGATTATCCCCA